ACAATGCATATTTCCCTTTGTGAAGTGATTTTGCGATATATCTTTACATTCCTACTGCTTCCCCCCACACCTACCCAATGGCAGGTGTCCTCACGGTTTACTCACCCAGGTTGACGAAGCTCATCACCGTGTCGGCCTCGCTGACCACCGTGCCCAGCGGTGGTGTGTGCGTGCTGAGGGTCGGCGGGGCTGCGTGGTTGACCTGAGCCAACCTCTCTGCCGCCCCAAACTTCCCCATGCCAGGTCCGTTTACTATAATTTCATTCCCTTCGTCCTCCCCGTCAGCCGACATGGCGTGGTACAGGTCCAGCATGAAGAGTGGTGCAGAGGAGGGCGGCCGTAGTGGCGGGTGGGGTCTGGGTCTCCCTGGCAGACCCAAGATGGACAGGATCTCCTTCTGCATCTCCTTCTTCTCGCGGCCGCTGAGCCGCCTGAAGCTGGAGTGGACCACAGCCTCGGCCTGCTGGCTCCACAGAGAGAGAAAGAGCAGGAGCAGCAGCGGCAGGAGGAGCAGGGTCCTGGGGTGGAGGAGAGGCCGGTGGGGTCTGGAGGTGGATCTGGTCTGGTGCTGGTAGACGCCACTGCTGCTTTTGCTCATATGCTGCTGTTTCATCTTGCTGCAGACACAAGAGAAACTGTGGTAGACGTCTGAGTCCATGGCTGTCTCTTGCGCTTCGTCTCTGCTGGGAAATCAAGATTTTTATCCTCACTAATAATCAGCCGCAAAGATTTCTTCACTTTATCTTCCCTCCAGTGTTTCCAGACTGACAACCACAGTGTTTTCTACTCACTTCAGTTTGTCCACTGACTGTTTGTCCTCCTGTTTCAGAGTCACCGCAGACAAATGCAGTGCTGATGTATGCCTGATGTGTTTAGAGGAGAGCTGGCTCTGGATGGGACGTGTTTACCGCCTTAAACTGCCTGTTTATCTCTCCCTCCCCCTTTGCCTTCCTCTCTCCCTCTTCTACCTTCTCTAATCTTGAAGAAGGAAAAAAAAAAAACCCTCCTCACCCTCTGATCCACTTTTACCTCACCTCTTAGTCGTGCAGCAGAAGAAACAGAGATAATGAGAGTGAGGGCATAATTACAAGCTTACAATGTGTTTTGAATATAGACAAACAATGCCTCTGTGGAAGATTGGTCTACGCTTTGAACTTGTAAACTTGGAGGATGGGAAGCAATTTCAGTGATGAGCAGGTGCCTCAGAGATTGGAGTGAAATTTGAGAGCCGTGTCATCAGATTTGCTCCCAATCCCCGTTGACCTCACGAGGAAATGAAGCTCACACCTGCAGTGAGTCAACGTTCAACCAGATACCTCATGAGGATCGTCTGCTGTGGAGCAATCACTGCTGGAAACTTTTATCCAGTCATCCTTGAGTACTTATTCATCCATTGACGACCGCTCCCCACCCACACGTCTCTGGGGTTCCAGATGTCTTTCTTAATCCAATTTATAAAAATTATAACCCCAGGAAATTGCTTCCTGATTGTAATCCTTGGGAGAGGTTTCTTCCACAGTCTTAAAATCTGTGGCAGCTCTTTGCACACGCTCCCAGTGTCTGTTGGGAGTGTGTGAGTATCTAAAAGCAGAGCTGTGCAGCAGAGAGAGTGTATCCTGTGTATGAAGCTCAGAGAGTGTAACAGTTGTTCAGAACCAGGAGGGAGTTTCCCTCCCTGCCTCCGCCTCTCGACCTCTTTCAAGTCTTTAAACTTCTCTCCGCTGCTTACATCTCATCATCACCCCTCCCAGTGGTCTCTTTGGGAGACCTCATCTCTCTCCCCTTCTTACCTCCACCCATCTATCTTTTCATCTTCTCATGACTGCTTCCTTTCATAGCTACTCAACGTTGAGTCTCAGGCGGCTTGGCGGGAAGGACGTCAATGGCCTGATGCCCTGCTTAATAGCAACTCTACACACAGCTAGTGTAAGGGGTTTTAAAGCCAAGTGGATGTAATTTCTCTACAAACGTTGCTGTGTATTGAGTGTAAAGACTGAAAAGAGGCAGTAACAAGTTATCAGACCAGTCAAAATGATAACTGAATACATCAATAAACAATACTGTTAGATAAACCTACTACGTGGAGTTTTTAAACTCAAACAGTCTCCATTTAATGTACATATGACCTACATTAACCTCCTGTCAGTTAGTAAAAATGGTCTTTACCTTTAGATTTACCACCGATTAGTGGATAAAACCCTTTTTTTTTTTTGGCTCTTAGTACACACAGAGAGGACTGTATGACTAGCTAGCTTATCTGAAACCATGGCAACTAACTACCTTTTTTCAGGTAGCTATTAACATAATGTTAATCATATACTTTACTAATACTGCTATGGAAGCTGAGAACGGCTGTGCTTGCAGTTATCTTTTTAATGCCGTTATCTCAAGATCGCAAGTTTATTTATCTTCAGAAAACAGAAGGCTGATTTAAGAGATAACAAGACGCCATTGTGAGAAAACAACTGTTGTTTTGTCAAGATCACGGGATAATTGTGAGAACGTAAAGAGTGTCAGCTTTCAAGATCACTATCATGACTGTCGGGAGGATTTATAACTGAACTTGTTGCTAGAATGTAAATCTGAGAGTTCATTTCCTGGCTCTGTGATGCAGTGCTGACACAATATTTTAAGAGATTAAGATTTATTAAATATGAATGCACTTTTTCCTCCTGGCTGCTGGCTCATCAAAATGAATGTTAAACTGGCACCTTGCATGTAATTTCTTAATGCATTGTCTATTATATTGAATGCTACATCTCTAATATTCCATCCACATATGCTAGTATGGCACTCCTGATCTCTGATAAACACAATTAACTCTAATGATCTCGAGATAACATTAAAAAATAATTGCAAGCAGGGACATTCTCGGCTTCCATATACTTATATACTAATATGAACATAATAATGTCTGTGAACTTCGAATTAGCATTCACTTGCTAATGTTTAGTTTCATTGTTGGTTTTTGATTTGTCTGATTACTTTTTACTACCTTTTGTCAGTTTCAGGGTTTTATAACCGTAGTCACATTTATCATTTTATTTTTTTTTTTTATCTTTGTTGATGTTAAAGCTCTAAACTCTCTAACATCACTGTCATAGCTGTGGTTTCTGGAACAGAACGCAGTACACACAATTTTAACTCCAAAGTTAAAACGGCCGTTGAGCAAACATTGAACAAAAATCTTTAACACTTCTTCTCTGAAGTGGCAGGTTTTGCGTTACACCGTGCAACACCGTTTCCCATTGGGCCATTCATTAGTTTACAGAGCTCTGCCTGCAGCGAGCCTAATGCAAACACACTGGGTGCATGTGTGTGTTTAAACCAAAAGGATTTGGAGGGAAGAAATGACTCAAATATAGTAGTGAGGTTCAGCCCTGTGCCAGCCTGTGTTTGTGTACTCTTTTCTTCAAAGCGGCCTGGTACTTGTGGTCACTTTGAAAGGCATGAATAACACTGACCAAACCAAACTGACCGCGGTTCATTTTGTCCTGGCCGAAAGGGCGAGTCCCAAATGCCAGGAATTAACGCTCTACCCATTTTGTTTTTCTTTCCTCTGCACATCTGCAACTTTAGGAGGTTTTGTCTGCAGAGATAATGGTGAGAGACGATGAAGAGGAGGAGGCGAAAGAACAGAGAGAGGGAGTGAGTTGAGGAGTGACAAAAAAGAGAAGAAGGAGGGGGTGAAGGGGAGCCGAGTGCCCATAAAACCATATAAACCCAACAGAAATGAAAAATGACATTCCTGAGAGACAGAAGTGGTGGAACAGAGCGAGGACTGTCATCAGAGAGAGGTCTGGGATGACAGATGGACTGCAGGCAGGACGGGCGTAGATGGATTGAGAGTGGACAGAAAATGAGAGGAGTGAGTGTGTGTGTGTGTGTGTGTACACACAGCTGCAGAGGGTGGACTCAGACCTCATCATCTCCGGTGGAACCACCAAATAAACAGGACAAAGTTATTTTCAAGTTCTCTCTCTCTGTCTCACACAGAGACACAAACGGGGACTGTGATTAAGGACTTAAAATGACAAACACTGAGAGACAGAGCGCAGGGAAAATAGACATTAGGAATTATTGAAATTACTTCTCCACCGTCACCACCACCTCCCCTGTGTTTACCTCCCGTCTGTGCACAGAAGATCCAATCGGGCGTATCCTTATCTCTTACAGGATAATTACCTAGAAATGTCCGGTCAGTGCCTCGGAGTCTGTGGTCTGCTGGCTGCCGTGAGTGAATGTAGACATGCAAGTGTACACACAAGAGAAAAGAAACATCTATTTAGCTCAGTTCAATCTATACAAAAATTATAAACGTATGCACATGTTCACATGAGCCCTAGGATTTTGTGTTTTAGACGAAACGCTGAACATAAGAGCAAAACTAATTCAAGTCATAAAAAACTGATATCACTCCAAGACACAAAGCATGTCTTTCTAAACATAAAAATATATTTAAGAACATCATGATGTAGAAAGCAACTGATTTACAGCTATATACATAATACAAATCAGCAATGTGTGCGCTGGGGCATTTACACCCATAAACATGATGAAAAGATTCTATCAATGAAGAAATCCTGTAGACATAAATGACAAAACACTGACAAATAAATGACAAAAACAGTACATTATGTGTCTATTAAGCCACATTCTCTTACATTTTACTTCGGGCTATTGAGAATTATTTTCTCAATTAATCATTTAGTTAATATCATGTATGAAAATTGGGATAAAGCTGACAAGCTGCTTTAAAAAACCCAACATGTTAACATTTAAGAGGCTGGAATCAATGAATCTTTTGAGTTAAAAAAATACTTAAATGATTAATTGATTCTCAAAATGTTTGCCCATTCATTTTCTATGAATTATTGTGCTCATCATTTCAGTTCTGACATTTCCCATGTTTACACACAGCGCACTTACTTTCACACACAAACAGAAACATTCTGATTTTTTGTGCACAAGAAACCCAACGAATCAAAGGCAAGAGACAGTTTTACTGCAAGCATATTTTTAATACAAAAACAGAACAAAAAATTGTTTATAATTTTAGTTTTTTGTTTTTACTTTTACACAATTGACTCCTAGTAACACCCCTCCCTCCCTCCATGTTCTCATCATCACACTGAGAGTAGCACAGCATCAAAAGGTGGCGGACTCATCTCCTGCGCCCGAGTCCAGACTCCCTCAGAGAGACAATAAATAAATAAAAATCACCTTAAGATGTATTCTTTCTTACTGTACTTTCATTAGTTTTTCATAAACTTCATCTCTTACACTGAGATAACACAGAGACAATTCGGCCCCATCAATGACAGGACATTTGAAAAAAGAGCCTAGAAGGAGAGACGCTGGAGAGGGACATGAGGGAGGAAACCCGCTCTCATTGGTCCACTCTGCTCAGGTCTCCTGTCATTCATATTTGTAGTTCTCTCTACACATGAAGGGCAAACCCCTTTGGTCATGGTCTGGGAATTGTAGTCATTAGCAAAAGAGAAAAATGAACAAACAAGGCTGCCACTAGAATCAGCGACCTAGTGAATAATGTAATGTTACAATGAAGTAGAAACACACTTTACACACAAATAATGTCAAATAGCAGAGCGGACATTTCCTTGGTACAAAAATCACAATTTCTTTAACCATAATACTAAATCACTCTCCGCGAATGGTGATATGACATGGAACTGAAAAATAAATAGACTTTTCTTTCAAGCTAGTTAACAAAAGTACAACTGGATTATAAATTAACCAGAAAACAACGAGAAGAAAAACATAATGACATTCGCAAATCAAAATTTTTGCATACAGTGACTCAAGTCAATGACCTCTTATTTCCTGTAACAAAGACACACATGATACACACCACCTTGTGTGTGAGAGAGAGAGTGTGTGTGTGTGTGTGTGTGTGTGTGTGCTGCTGGGTTGCTAAGGGCAACACAGTGTAGACATTAAGGTGGAACTGCAGAGGAAGAGACAATTAGTGCATGCTGGTTGTCGAACTCCGCAAACACGGTCATTAACATCGGGTTAGGTTACACATGTCGTATATTGTCAGTAATGTGCTGTTAGTTGTGTGTGTCACCATAAAAATAGTCCTTTCTATTGCCAGTTTGTGATTTCTGTGTGTTGGATTGTTACGCCGGCATGTGACAAAACCACACCGCCCTTTGCTGAAATGCACACACAAGGCTGATCTTAACGTTCCAGCGGTCGGGAGGAGTCTGCTCTGCGGTGTTTGAGTGTGTGAGTGTTTGCCCTCAGCCACCGTCACCACCACCGATCCTCTGAGTCCGAGGTTAGCCGGTGTATGTATGTATGTGTGTGTGTGTGTGTGTGTGTGTGTCGGACAGCGTTTCCCGCCTCCCGAGCTCTCCACACGTGGTGTCTGCTTCTGCAGATCTGCTGAGGTGACTGTTTTTCTCGCCAACCAGTCGGAAGCGACATGGCAGTCGTTGCATATTTTCTTTTTAAACTCATCGTTGAGGCATCGGGCCCACAAGCCAAAATAATAACCCACAATTCTTTCTTTTTTTCCTGAATGTCATTTGAGATTTTTTTTTGTTTTCGTAGCCGTGGTGGTGGTGGCGTGTCCCACTCCCTACCCCGCCTCTGTGTTAAAATGTGTGTATTTGTGTGTCAGTGTGGTATAAAGCAGTTTAAAGACTTTCTCTGTTGCTCTGTCTGATCGGGACAGAAGAGGGTAACACAAAGTAAGGCAGCATCATGTCAAGTCCGTGTTTGGTTCCACTCTGGTGGAGAACTTTTGAAAGACAAAGCAGGAGACTGGAAGGCAAAATGGGGTCGCTTCTTAAAGGGGAAAAGTCGGTTTCGACCCCACAGACTCTGGCCTGGGACTGCCAGACCAGAACTCTGCTCCTCTTGTGCATGTTTTCAATCCGTTTATGAGACCGGGGAAAGAGTGAGAGGGAGATTCACTCATCCTATCCATCTCCTTCTTTCCCCTGGAAAATGTCAGTCATAGTGCACATATTCTGCACAAGCCCTATGTATAGACTTCCGACTGAAGAGCTGGTGCACCCAAAATGGCCGACGATAGCAGTCCACCCTCTGTGGCTGGTGTTATTTCCTCGCAGACCCTGGGGTCTTTGGGCTGGGAGCCTTTTTGGAGATGGTGGGAATCTTAGAGGGTTTGGCTCCGCCGGGTCGTCGTGGGGTGTCCGAGGCATCAGAGCAGACGGAGCGGGCGTCCTGTAGCTCTGATGCATCCGAGGCATCACTGCCGCGGCGACTGCTGGCTCTGCTGCCCGCCCGGCTGCCAGCTCGGCTGGTCGGACCGCTGGCTGTGGATGCCCCTCGCTTTGGATCTAGCAGGAACATAGGAGGGTGGAAAGAGGAGAGAGACAAGTTTAAAAGTGCAAAATATGTGTTTCTACTGAATCACATATAGGTTTAAAGTTATTGTAACATATCCTTTTGCCGTGCTAGCTGTTCATTTTCTAACAGATAGTCCAATAACTATTTTTTGATTTTTATGTAGCTCCATCAAAATCTGTCTTTGTTTTGTTTCATAGGTTATAGCGGTGTAGCTCAAGCTTTTTACATCGTGTACTTCCTCAGAAAATATTATGCTCTTCAAGTATCACCATTATGACCAATGATCAAAGTAGTATAGAACGAAACTGGAGCAAGAATCAGAGCTAATTTGGTGGAAAAGGGGGTGGACACTTATCTTCCAAATAGTTCCCGTTTGGAGACATGGTTGCAGTATTTCTCATGTATGCAGACACTACTATAAACTACAAAACTTTCAATTTACATTTCAGTGATCTCATAGTATACGTATTTTCATTCAAAATTCTGAATATTTTTGATAGTATTTTATGTTTTTAAATAAATTCAGTTAAAAAAAAAAGTATTTTGGTAGATTCCTACGACTACCACTAGAGGGAGCTCCATAGCTTGAGAACCAGTAGGATAGCGAATACGGTCTGCAGTACAGATGTGTCTCACCACTTCGCGAAGGTTTGCTGGTGTGTGTCGTTCCTCCGTTCTCTCCCGTCAGCGAGCCTCGGCTCGAGTGGAACGTCGGCCTCTTTAGTTTGGACCCCGACGTCGCCCCCTGCAGGAGCAAACAGGAAACATCCGCTGAACAACTGAACTGTGGAGGTGAGCTCATGTTACTGATGTGCATCACATTAGACACACACTGGTATTTTAAACACTACATTATCTTATCACTACTAAACAAACAAACAGCACATCACATTCACATCGACACTGGACAGAAGTAGACCTACGAACAAATGAAAACTATACACACACATCTACAAATTATATCACTAATTGTAAAAGGTTTGGTTTCTAAAAACTATAAAAGAGGAGTAGGGCTGCAACCAAAGATTATTTCATATTATTGATTAATCTGCTGATTCTGAATCATTCGTTCTAAATGCTAAAAAAATGAGGTCATCAAATTGCTGACTTTATCTGATTAACATTGAGTTCACTCTGACATAAGACAAAGACGAGTAGCAATCCTCTGTAGGGTCGTCACTACACATCGTCATTTGATACACTATTATAAAAATATCAATTATAGCCATTTTAAACAATTGATTATAAAATAAAACTGTTGCCAATTAATTTGTGTCAATCGACTATTTGTTTTAGCTGCTCATTGAACAGGTTGGGCGGGAAAATCTTAAAATACATCAAATTTTTCCGAACCGAAGATTTTCCCACAACATTGTTCTACAGGTATCAATTATATAATTAATGCACTATTTATAATATGTTGTTCTTGTCAAATTAAAACCATAACCATCTTCAAAATGTCATCTTTCAGGCTTTAGCTCGACCACATCATGTTTATTCTCAAAGGCTGGAAAATGTTCACAACCCTCAGATGATGTAATCTTTAATTCAAACATGAAAACCACTGAAACTGGAGGTTCAGAGTTTTCACATGGCAGCAGCAGAGGTTTACGTTTCCACGTGGTGGTGTGTGAGCACCCGGGAGTGTGCGTTAGTGCATTAGCGCGTTCAGTGGGGTGGGGGTCGGGTGGGACAGGGAGGTGGGTGGGTGGGTGGGTGGGGTGAGTGTGTTACCTCGTGCCCAGGAGTCGTGTGGCCGAGATCTGGGCAGCAGTGGCACTTGGTTGGCGTTGGAGTTTTACTGTGTGCCAGCCAGGGCTTGGCATAGTCACGCGAGTGAGTATGGGAGGACTGGAGGGAGGAAGGGAAGGGAGCAAGGAAGGATGGAAGGGAGGAGGAGAAGTAGAGCAAGGCAGCCAAAGAGAGAAAGCAAAAAGAGGAGGGAGGGAGGGAGTTATGGAGGGGAGGGAAGGAGCGGTTGGATAGCAGGGAAGTGCAGCGCAGTGTATTTTTGTGTAAGAGCAGATCATTGAATTTTTTTTTTTTTTTTTTTTTTTCAAACCACCCATCAATGCCGGGAGGACAGTTTGGAAGCCGGGTTAGCAGGGTTTGAATGACAGGAACGAGGGGAAAAGGCAAAAAGATGAAAGACAAAACAAAGAAACAAGAACAAAAAATAAAATTTCACAGTTAAGGATGTGGTGATTGTTGACAACAACAACAGGAGGATGACAACAACTGAACAATGTGTAACAAAACCCATAAACACACACACACACACACACACACACATAAAGTCACCAATGTGCATTCAGTCAGACTCTCTCACACAAACATTGACAGTAATGCTTTTCCACAGAAATCAGATGACAAATGAAAAACATCACTAACATCAGATGATGACAACAACACTAATGACTACACCCAGTCTGGTTGACTGATAACAATGGACTAAGTGTTTATCCTCACAATGACGATGTTTCTATTTGACATTACAGCCTCAACAATAGGTGTAACAGAGGAGGTTATTCAGGTTTGTGTGTCTGTGTATGTGTGTGCTCTTATTCTATGGTACTGTTTCATCTTGACAGGTGAACAAAAAAAGCAAATACGGATGATAACTTTCAGCTGCAATGTGTCATTCTCATGATTTAGGACAGAACAAACCACACTAAGTTTGACTTTTATGAGCCTGCACAGACTCTTTCCCATAAAAAGAGAACTCCACCAATTTAGCATTGCACTCTTTAACACTGGCAGTCTCGTCTCGTGAAAAAAGGATAAAAATTGATGCATCTTTTTTGTTCCACACATTCTTCTTCCTTCTAACCTGCCATCTACATTACCCACAATGCAACTCAACCACAGAGAGTTCAGTCGGAGATTTGGGTGTGTTGTGGCTAATGTAGCTTCGAGCCTCAAGCCTCAAGCAGACACGACAAGCAGGCTTCAAAGATTTCAACATATTTTCATTTTCAAACTTTCAAACAAACGGACTCTGCGATCACTTTATTAAACTTCACACAGCTTCCTCTGGAGCCACAAAAGCTTTATACAATGGTTATTCACATATGCAGTAGCACTGCTCAAGACTTATAAACAAACTTTGATGTGTAAAAACGGTGGAGTTCTCCTTTAATGCGTCTAAATGATGAATTTGATAAATCAGTTGTTTAAATGATCTTTTATTTCTTAGGTTTTTTTTTACTTTTTACTCTCCTATAGTTTTTTTTTACTCACTAACAAAGTTTTCTGTGTCTCATTTTCTTTAATTTTTCTGGCTTTGTCTGTAACCATGTTGTCTTCTGTGTTTTATCTCAGTGTGAACACAAGGTACCTGCAAGTTTGACCAATGCAAATTTTAGATTTTTATTTTAAATCATTGCTGGTATTACATTTCAAACCTTATCCTTTAATCCTATTCAATATACTGAAGGTTGGTGGTGTTTTGTAAGACTGCTTATACACACAAACACACAGTACTACTCGTCCTGTTCTGTCATTAATATAGTGTAATGAGTGGACATGAAGTGGAAAAGAAACCAGTTCTTGCATGATGAACAAATTAATCTAAACTAACTGATTTAAGACATCTGACTCCTTTTTAGGTCAATAAAATTAGATCCTGCCTCAAATCTTACAGTAGTGACGTCAGCTCTTACCCTCGATGACGCGGAGGCTGTCGGTGTGGCGGGGGTGGAAGGAGCAGAGGGGAGGGAGGCGCCGCTGTGGGAGGCCGAGGAGGAGGAGCGGGTTGGTGAAGCGTTGCGGGACCCCGGTTTGGAGCGTCGTCCCCGGGAACGGAAGGCAGCCAGACCCTGAGACGCTCCTTCAGGAAGGATGAACTTCTCCCTCAACTCCAGGTTGGTGCGACCACGAGCTGAAGAGAAACAGAGAGGGATCAGATAAATGAGTTGCTTTGTTGATGTCGGCTCACAGTTTTCCTCCAGCAGGGGGCGGCAGAGGCAGCGAGCAGGGTGAGGGAGAGAGTCAGTGCTTCCTTTGGCTGCAGACATCAGAGTCCGTGCATGTTTCTTTTGAGAGTGCACATGAGCAGAGCTGGTGTTTGGAGGGGTGGGGTTCAGGGGTTCAGGAAGTCTTAAGAGCACTTTGGTTGCGTTGTTTTTAAGGGGAGAAGTGAGCGAGGGTGTTTGGTTTGGGTGCAAAAGGCGGTGTAAATTCCATACGCAACGAAAGTCAGCAAGTGGTCCACATTGGTGGATACGTTTTGGAGACACGCTGTCATCACTGCAGACAAATTCATCAAACAACTCCACAGATCATTTCCCATATTTCCTCATTCATGGCCAGAGAAAACATTTTCTGCACTAGAGAGATTATAATCTCAACAAGAGAGAATAAAACAGCTGCTAACAGAGTGCTGATTATATCTTTAAAGCAACAGTTCAACATTTTGGGAAATCTGCCTATTTGTTTTTGTGTCGGTAGTCACTGACCAAGAAACAGAAACAGCACAAAACCCCTTGGGAAGAAAGCGAAGCTGTCAAAGAAAGTAGTAGTAGAGTAAGAGAACCTTGTTCGAAATCCCAGTGACATTTAAAACAATGCTAACAACTAAAGATACGGCCTTGGAACGGAGCCTCTCTCAACAGTACGCTGTGTGGTATGCTTCAGGTATGTAAGATCTTTGTTTATTTGATATTTCTGCTTTGAGGGCTTTTCAGCCTTTAACAAACACCTTTTCACAAAAGCCTTTGACCTTTGCAGGCTAAATGTCAAAGCTCCACAGAAAGGTCTATAGGTCTAGTCTATAGTCTATAGTCTCTAGGTGAGGCGAGGGCCAGGGAGCTCTGACATGTGTATTAACAGCAGGGCAGAGAGGACTGAATGCAAAAATGTCTTTAGAATTTCACTTATATGGATTTTCCCGTGCTCAGTAAGTAATCTGTTAACTTTGATAGTTGGTATCACAAATTAAACCGTTGGTGATTCTGTTGTAGTAGATGCCAGTTTATCTTGGAGTATGGAAAGACCCAAGAACACATCACATTTTGATCCTTGAGACAGACAAAAGAGAATGCTGAATGACAGATTGAACTAGTGGAAAAGAGGCTAGCCCGGACTTTAGGTCACGACTTCGCTCTCTGTAAGCGGATTTCCCAAAATGTCGAACCATTCCTTTAAGCAATGGCAAGTGTCTCCAGTTTGTGAAAAATGTCATTTCACTGAGCGATGCACACACTTTCATTGCGTATTTGCTTAAAAAACATCTGAGGGGTGGTGGGAGCAAAAGCACAGCCTCTCTTCTCTCGTTTTTCAACAAGCTCTCCCAGTTGAATTCATTTCCACTTCTTGCTGCGAAGGAGCATCTCGGCTCTGCTGAGTATACACAGCATGTGTATATAAATATACTGTATGTGGGGGGGCATGCCTGGTTTATGCTTAGCGGGAGAGAGCCCAGAGATTCAGGGTTTCTCCCTCCAAAAGACACTCAGCAGCATTCTTGGACAGAAAGTAGTGCAGCAGCCCCAGCAGACAACAACAAGCCTGGAGAAGCCAGCCACAGAGAGAGAGAGAGAGAGAGAGAGAGAGAGAGAGAGAGAGAGAGAGAGAGAGAGAGAGAGAGAGAGAGAAGGGAACAAAGAATACACAAAAGAACCAGAGGAGACATGATAGATAGATTCAGCATGGAAGAGAAAATAAATGAAAGGAGTGAAAAATAGTGTAAGATGATTTAAAAAAAAAAATAAGAGAAAGAGGGAGGAGAAGAGGGCTGCAGCTAGCCGTAGCAGCAATGCAACTCCTAGCCTCATGGGCTCATCGTCCCTAGCAACCGAATAGCAAGGCCAGTCAATTAAACGGGTGCACCCTGCAATTACGTCCCCCCTCAACGCCAGCCAGCCAGGTGCACCCTGTAATTGTGTCTCCCACCAACCAGCCATCACATTTAAAAAGGAGCCGCGTTGGAAGCCAGCGTTATTAGAAACCCAGGCTGGCCACGCCCAGGTCTTAGACACTCACTGTGTCTTTTACACTGAAATCACAAGAATTTGTACTTTTTTAAATTTTGGCTAAATAAATAACTGAAAAGATACATATGTAAGCCGTGTTCACTGTAACATGAAAACACAACAATATTTTTAATTTAAGTTCTAAAGTTTTATAAGTATGTTTTCTGATGAGCATCTTCATTTTTTAGCCTACCTGGTAAAATTTGGCCATCTTGAATTCATAATTTAAAAAAAAAATAGTACTTAAAGAATAGAATAAAATAAAATATAAAGACCAGGGGTTGGCCAAATCCTGCTTTGTTGTGAGTGAGGAAAGCATGACGCAAACATGTGGCACACAGACAAGACTGACATCAATACCTAAACACACAAACCTGACCGCAGTAAGAAACAGCACACACACACACACACACACACACACAATATATTTATACATTTATGCATATATACACAGAGGATAGCTGTGGTTAAAGATGGAGACTGACAGCTGGACGGACGGATGGATGGAGAGTGAAAGAGATGGAGTGACAGAGGAACAGAGAGAGGAAGTGTAGATACCTCGGCAGCAGAAATAGCCAGGAGTGACTGTCACTGAGAGACACAAGAGACAATGTGAAATAACAGCATGCTCATGGTGGAATGAAGAGAGTCACACACACACACACACAAAGATATCACTTCTTGGAAACACTCTTAACACACAGCCCGCTGACAGGGGGTCCAGACGAGTGTCCGTGACCCCTGTAATGGGTTTTTAAAAAAAAACAACAAAAAACAGGTCAAGATATCAGAGCTTGCGTAAGTGGCGACAGCCGGGGAGGGAGGTCAGGAGAGAGGAAGAGCAGTAACAGTGGGGAGACATAACGTTAGTCAGGTGACCACAGTCTGCAAGGCACAGCAACAAGGCCAAACCAACAAACCGAAGAAGAAGAAGAAGAAGAAGAAGAAGAAGAAGGAGAAGAAGAAGAGGAAGAAAAGATGAAGATAATGGTAGAGAACAAGAAAAAAAAACAAGGAGAGAAATAAGAAGAAATCTGGAAGAGAGTCTCCAGGAGGGATATAAAAAATAAAGACGGGCGGAGAAAAGACAGGCAGTTAGGAGAGAGTGGAAGCGTAAGAGATAGAGGAGAAGTCCAACCTATACGAGATGAGATGGAGCTACTGGAATCGGAGCGGAGAATCTTAAGTCCTGGATGTTGCACTGGGGAAAGAGAAAAAGGGAGGGAGGGAGGAAGAGAGGGGGAGGAAGAGGGAGAGAACTGAGGACCATGCATCATGCAATACTACTGTTTAATTTAAAATAGAATGAAATAAATTAAGACAGGACAGAGGCTGAAGAGAGAGAGAGAGAGAATCGGCCGTGTATATACAGAAATAAAACGTGACGAGATAAGATGATAAACTCCTTGAGGGCTGACAGAGGACGGGCTCAGAGGGAACGGAGAGATTTTAGGAATAAGAGATGGAGGGAGAAACAAAGACACCGACTGTAGACGGCACCCGAAGGAAACACTGGAGAGAGAAGTGAGACGAGGCAGCGTTTCACCGCATCACCTGCTGACAGACAACTTGACAAACTTGAGTCAGTTTGGTCGCTGTGTTTTCCTCCACTGTAACTCCTTTGATGCACGTATGCTTGGGGGTGTAAGTGTCAGGAACTCGATGCAGGAGGTGTGTTTGCTTTTGGTAAAGAGTTGTAAGAGAGTGTGTTTGTGTTCCTGCTAGAGCTCGACCGATATTATCCGCCCTCCGACTGATATTCGACCAATATATTCTAATTAAAATTGCTCCCGTTTTTTTAGGCTTGTGCATTTTAAAGCCTGACACAGGAAGTCAGTGACTCTCTGCACACAAAGGGCTTGAACATTTTACCCATTTTTTACTTTATTGGACTTAATAGATCAAAAAGTTTGTGTATGGAAAATTATTATATATATTATATATTTTTGGGCCACTACACCAACATCAACCTACAGCTACAATGTCGATACTGGGATATTATTGGTCTGTTTCAGCTTATTGCAGATATCAGCATTGGTTTGTATTCTTTATTCTTAAAAAGAAGTGTCAAAGATAAGAGTAACAGGAGAACAGATAAATGATATAATAATGAATAAAGTAAAAATGATTTAGTCACTGGTGACAGGTCATTTTAATAATCTAAAATCCATGTAATGCAGTATAATATGCATAATGCATAATACAGTCTTGCCCACTCATTGTTTAATATTTTTTATTGTTCTGTATAATTTATTAGTTCCTCATTTCTTTTCAAAAGGTTTATACACTGCGTTTATATTCATATTACACGTATGATACAAACATTTGGTTTCTCTCAACTTCAATAAGTTGTGGTTTATAATCCTTATTGATACTATTTTAAAGTGAAGTTTACTGTTTGTTGTTAGTCTTTTTGACATGTTTATTTTTCAGCTGTATAATATCCATCTTATCTTCACAATTCATAAATTTAGGAGATCATTTTCAAAACATTTGACATTTAAAAACGCAAATCAGTTACAAAACCCAGCGTTGGTCGAGCTCCAGTGAATGCATGTGAATGAAAGAGTGAGACAGAGGAGGAGAAAGAAGGTATGCTAGTGTGTGTGTGTGTGTGTGTGTGTGTGTGTGTGTGTGTGTGTGTGTGTGTGTGTGTGTGTGTGTCTGCGTTGGATAATCTGTGTTTGTGTGTTTTTGAGAGAGATGCCTGTATGAGAATAAACATCACTCACCTCTGCATGGATCATTTTTGACCAGGAACTCGTCCAGAGCCATCCAGCCACCTCCGACTCTCACCATCACCGTGCTGCGCAAAATCCTCACCAGACGCAGCTGCTGAGAGTCACCGAACTGAGGAGATAAAAAAAACCCCAAAGGCGGAGGGGACGAAGAGAAATGAGGAGAAAAGAGGGAAAGAGATAAGTGAACGTAATAGAAAACAGAAGAGAGGAAGAACGTGAAATTAAAATATAGAAATAGGAAAGACAAAGGGAGAGAGTGAGGGAATCAGAAAAAGAAGGAGACAAAGTCAGTGAGGAAAATGATCATTCATATGCTGATTGATGAGTTTTAAATGATTCACAGCGTCACACTGAGCAGCCAATGTACCAAAATCTGAACAGCTGATCTGTTCTACTCCATGCAATGGCAGAAACAACATGCACTGATAGAACTAAAGCTGCTCATTCTCAGCCCAGTTCACCCAGCCACCCAAATCTGAACCTTATCGTTTACAGGACAGATCACTGCTGTGTTTTCAGTCTATTTCAGAAATTGTTCAAACCACCGAGCAAAGCAGAATTTCAAAGCGATACCAGCACAGAAGGATTTTTTTCTGGATCTCTCTCCAAGCAGCTTGATTTGCTTCCCAGATTCTGTCCAACGCACACTATATATCACCTAACCACTAATTACCACTTCAGCCATGTCACTGTCGCCTACTTCACATTGTGCAATTTGTCACTCTCAACACCAAACAAATCACAGCAGGAACATGACTGGAGGATGAAACCTGCTTACACGTTGCAAAGCCACAATGGAGTGCTTCTTCTTTTCAGCTTCTTTTTTTTCCTCCAATCATTATTTAATATGGAGTTACAGAAACAAACTAATTCTTTGTTGTAAGAGTGTGAAAGCAGAAAGAACTCAGCACTCCATTGGTGGAGAATCAGGAAGCAGATTTCACACGTCCAGTCACAGCAGCGGCAGTCACTTTACCTGGTTTCCGAGGAAGAACTATAATAAATCCAGTAGACACGGAGCACGGGAACACAAGGAGAAAGAAACAGAGCAAGAGTGAAACAACACGTACTGATAACTGAGGTTTGTAATGTATGAATGGATACCATTTATTTGTGTACAGGATCTTCAAACAGCTCGTACTCAATCGCTTAAATGTCATTGTGTGTTTCTGTTATTGGAGCTCAGAATTAGTTGTGTAAGCAAAAAGATGGCAGTGGACATCCTGTGGGTGCAAAATGCAGTTTATAACTGGTAAGATGGAGGTGAAGATGGGGACAGTGAAGAAAAGTGAAGCCAGACACAAACACGAGCAAAGACAGACAAAAACAAACAGGTGTACTATTAGTATCCCCAGTGTCCTGCAGTCAGACACTAGATATCATTACCCAGTGGGTAATGATGGAGTGGACACACACACTGTAGCGGAGGGAGTGATGGGCGATCCAGTTAAGTGCTGCTGAAATCTGTCAAAAGTATTGGTTTATGACCGCTGTAAAATGCTGCATATATACACACAGGCTGCTGGGGGAACCATTAACATCACTGTAAAATCAATACTTTCATAATCCTACAAAATGACTGTATTTCATGATCTTAATGTCTTGTTTGTATTTTCATAGGTTTTAATATATGTCTACTATATTGTGTTCTTAAATTTAGTCCGTTATTAATCAGGGAAAGAACGCCACAGTAGATTATTTGAGACAGATTTAATAACAAGGCACCCTGCGGTTGTTATTTATTCTTCCAAATGGGTGAATATGAGTCCTTCCAGAGCAAATTACCTCTGATTCTGGCTCATTTGGTTTCTTTCATAGTTAAGTTTGAATAAAACCAGCTGACAGCCGTTGCTTGTAAATCAGCTCTGGCTCTTTCACACCCAGCAGCCCAGAGTGCGTCTATACGCTCACATTTACACGCTTTTGTTAATGCTTTGGTGATGGAAAAACGAGGCTCAGCTGACAATCCTGGAGGGCTGTGAGATGTTATATCAGTGTTATAATGACACATCAACGTTATCATGACATGTAATGACATGTTATGATACAGGCAATTAACACACTTATAAATACACCATGAGATCATGATGTGAGATGGACACACAAGAGAAATGCTGTGAAGTTATGTTGAAGTTAATCGGTGCCTGCTGGACAAGTGAAGACACAGGCAGTTAATAATGAAACGGGACCGGGTGAAACAGGGTTTGTAAAGTAACTCTTGGCAATTTCAGTTTAATTACAAGTAAAGAACAAGAACTATGGACTAAATAGGAAGTTGTTTTATTTGATATAGTATTGATAATTACATTTTAGCTGTCAGAACAAATCTGACTCTAGACTTTAGTGTTTAGAACAGCACATACAGGTCATGTACTGCTGACTTAAGTGTTACTTAACTACAAATGAATCTGTAATATGTGACAGTTGTTACTAAAACAGCCAAGAATTATTTGCAAACCCCCTTTGACCCAGGTCTGTTAACAATTACAACTGCAATGAACATTAGCGTTTCCTCTGTTATATTATCTAAACTATACATTACAGTTTGTAGCTTATTCTATAAATAGTGTTAAACTGAACCAAAGCCTGAGCAGGACTTACCCGGTATTTGTTCTCTCCGATCTGCTCCACTTGGAACCTCTTGGCACATTTACACTGGGCCACCTGCCGAGTCACCTGCACAACAAACAAACAAACAAACATCAGTGAATGCATTCAGACTGCTAACAGGCATCAGGCCATGACGAGGCCTGTCCAATGGCTGACTGGCTGGTAGCTCATTGTTTCAATATTGCACCATTTTCTTCCTAAGCTAGTGTTTCCTTACCTCGTCCTCTATCTTATCAGCGTCGGTGGTGGGTCTGTAGGCGTCTTTGTTGGGGTGCAGAGCAGCAACAAACTCATAGTAGTCGATGTAACCGTCTCCATCTCTGTCAAAGATGTCTGCCACCGCTGTCATCTCCAGCTTACTGGTGGGAAACTCTGCAGAGACGAGAATGTCATAAATCATTTCATGTCTTCGTAACTGTCAAAAGTTAACCAAACACGTCGTCAACCAATAACCTACTTGATGCCAGGATGCCGTCGATGAACTCCTGCCGCGTGATCTTTCCATCCTGGTCCTTGTCGATGCGTCTGAAGAAGTCCATAACACGGGACTTCTTGTGGTTCATCCAGCGCATGTACTTTTTCCTCCACACATCAAAGTCAAAGTTGGCAAACTCTTTGAGCTGAAAATAGATAATGCAGAGTGAATGTACAGTGACGGAAAGAACTGAATCTGAAAGTTTAATTAGAGTCAAGTTGTGGCCAATTATCTTCAGAAAGTCAGAGCTGTCATTGACCAGGAAACTGTCTATATTGGGATCTTATCTAAATGTAAACCTGTACCTCCTCCAGTCTGTCCAGACCATCGTTGAGTTTGCGCTGGCGGTCAAGAGCCAGCAGCCAAACTTGCTGCCACCTGGCACAGAGCTGGTTGAGTCGCGGGTTTCCTCCGGAGACCTGCATGGCCGCCTGCTGCTGCTGCTGCTGTTGCTGGTGTTTGCCTGCAGACAAAGCAAATAGTTAAGAGATCCTCTCGGCCACAGATGACTAATTTGTACGTTTCTAACATGCACTCGTGCAATCGTAAAAAATCGAGGGAGACGATAATATTTGTCCATTAAAGGGTAAACACAGGTGACTTACGAGCTCCTCTCCTCTCAGCCAGGCTGCTGGGAGCCTCAGCCGGTTTCCTTTTGTAGGTCTTCGTCACTTTATCGACATCTGGTTGTTTCCTCGTCATCTCCTCCATAAACATCTGAGAACAACAAACCCCAGCAGCGAGTAAGCAAAGTTGGACTGTTAATGGACAGTACACACAGGCACAATCGCACAGAAATACCCAAAACTGTGAGCAACACATCTGATGAGTCAGTGAAGCCGGGGGGGATGCACCTGGTGTTCTGTGATGAGTGTTTTGAGTTGTGTGATGTCCTGAGGAAGCGGCTCGGTGTCTCTCTGGATCAATGTGGTCTCAGCCCACTGTAGCCATGACAACAGCTCCTCCAGCAGGTTGGCGTTGTTGAGCACCTCAGTCAGAGCCGTCTCAAGCCGCTGCTCGTGCTGTTTGGCCCACGTCAGCACCTGTAGAGCGATGGGTTTGATTGTTATTGTTATATGTCTCTTTAAAATATGTCGCTAGTTAAATAAAGATTAACAGGTCGATACAATACAATGTTTAAAAGGACAGCCTTTAAAACAATATTTAACCTAAAAGTTAAATAATTATTTAAGAACGTATCTAACATACAGCTATATCTGGAGGATGAAAATGGAGCTGTGATTCTCTACCTCTGCCCTTCCCTCCCTTCCTCACCTCTTCGAAGCGTGCCCTGATGATGGTGATCCAGTGTTTGATGGTGGTGATGGAGTCAGGGTGACAAACAGTCAGGATGCCCTCTCCCATGCCGGCAGCCTTGTTGACATCTGCCCTCTTCTCCTCCACGGTGCCCATGAAGTCTCGATGCGTGTGCAGCAGCGCTTGCAGAGTCTCTGCCTCTTCGGGAAGGACGCCGCGGAAACGAAGCGTCTGCTCCGCCTCAGAGAGCCACTCCAGAAGCACCTGCACCGCCGTACGAAACTCCTCCGCCTGATGGAGAAAAAGCAGTTGGAGAGAAGACAGAGCGCTCTTTAATGATGCCTGTGCATTATTTGTTGACCAGGTTTGGAAAAATCATCAGGGCAACTTTTTCTCTGACCTGTTTGAGGGCGAGCTGTAGGCGCGTTTGCTTTGTGACCGAAAGGGCGCACACTGTATCCCAGCGGTTGCTGAGCTCCTGAAGCTGAACTTTGACCCACGCCGTGTCATCGCGGCCGGTATCCATAAGGTCCCTGGCTGAGCGTTTCAGAGCCTGAACACTGCCCGTTCTCTTCCCCAGCTCTTTTTGGAAAGTCTGCAGGTTTGGACATTAGACAGTATATGAAAGCAGGACACGGCAGGTGTGGGTGGTGTCAGACTTAAAGGGTATTTATCACATTTTTATACAGTTATGTTTAGTGCACACACCTTATGTGAGTCCATGAGGTTGGACACCAGATCCAGATCTCCATGGACGGGCAGGTCTTCAGCCAGCTGGGGCTCTACCCGGTACAACCAGTCCACCAGGGCCTGGAGAGCCTCTGCAAACTGGCCTGAGAACAGCAGAGCCTCCTCCAGCTTGTGTTGTCTGGATGGAGGAGAGAAGACAAACAGCCGTCAATTACCATATCTCATGCTCCATATGTCACATCTGCAGGTTTGGAAAAGCCGGTTTCATTGTCCATCCTTCATCCTCTTTACCTCTCCACGCTTTTGCCGCAGACGGTGTCCCACTTGTCGCGGACCTCTCCCACCAGGTGGTCCAGTTTCTGGGTGTCTGCAGGCAGCTGAGCCTTGTCCCTCATGGCCTTCCCAGACCTCACTGTTGTGTCGTAAACAGGCTGCTTCGACCCCAGCGCTTTCTGAAACTCCTGGACAGGCAGAAAAAGGGAGGGAACGAAGGAGATTTGTAGAGAGGAACTGGTAATACTGACCTTTTCTATATACTTGTGTGCGTATAAATTGCCCACGGTACCTTGTGTTTGGCCAGTTGGACTTTGATCCTGTCTGGCTCATTGGAGATCTCCAGCTCTGAGTCCAGTCTTTTCTCGGCTTCTTCTAGCCAGTCTGTCAGCTTCCTCCAGGCCTCGTGGAACTGAAGAAAGAGAGTTACAGAGTTACAGTTTGATATTCTTACATGCATGCAATCCATGTCCTTGCCATTTCTACAACACAACTAGAGCCACTTTGCCTATATGAACATTACATTTAATGGAAATCTAGTTTTCATGTTGTCAGTGTCTCCACAGTGTGCCTTTGGTCTTTATGGGACAACAACAAGCTCATCACCCTACTATCAGTTCAGTACCTGTTTGGCGCGTTTGCGGGCCTCATCGAGGTGACGACCGCGGTCCAGTGACCTCTGGACCAGCTTGTCCCAGCGGGCCTGGACGCTGAGCAGCAGGTTTTTGATGAGAACAACATCCTGCTTCAGGCTGGCAAAGCGAAGCTGAGAGCCGGCCTTCTCCAGAGCTAGGACCTGCTCTCTGTGGGTATTAACCTCGTTCACAAATACCTGGGCAGACACAGACAAGGGTGCAGAATGAGTTAGACAAAAAGTTTGATGACAAAAGTCAAATGTTCACATAATAACCTTAAACATCTGAGTAAAACAGACATCTTAACTGTGTTTAGTAAGTGTAGTATGTTCTGTACCTTGTGCTCATCAATCTGGAATAGGACAGTGTCCAGTATGAGGCTTGGGGGTTGGGCCATGTTCAGGGTCTGTTCAGCCTGGGTCAGCCAGTTGATGGTGTCTTGCAGGGAGGTTTGGAAACCTGTTGCCAAGGAAACGGCCTCATCCAGCTTTGCCTGGAAAGTTCAGATTTTACATTTAACAACAAATCAGTAACAGTGACTCAGACAAAAACTAAAGGATTAAGTGATCACTATGAGGACGTATTAAGATTCATATACAGACAGACAAGATAATAGAAGTCAAGAACAGAGAAATAAAACACGTCTTACCCTGCGGTCGTCCATCTTGGTGTTAAAGCTTGCCCACTTGTTCTGCAGCATGCCCAAGTTCTGCTGGGTCTGGGTGGTACCGGGTCCTGCTTCCTCTCCTCCACGAGCCAGCAGCATGGACTCTCCTTGATCCAGCAGGCGGTGGTACTGTTCTCCGCGCTGGGCCAGTTGAGCCTGAAGCTCCTGCAGAAAAGAGAAGACACAAATGTGAACTGACGGTCTGGCTAAAAGGTGAGCGCTGTTGTGTCTCACTGGCTGGTTAAGGACAATTAAAGCTACTAAAGTTTCATCGTCACCAGATACCATGTGTCTCATGTGTAAATAGAGGAGCATGTGTAAGCTAATACTGTGAGCATCTGCTTAATACTTTTGTAGTAAAAATCTTTTTGTACTTCATCAATCAGCTTTGTGCAGTTGTTACCTTTACACAGACTTTGTTTTTGGTTCAAAAAGTGCTGCAGAAAACAGTCACACATTAAACAATGAACATGACAACACTTACTTTATACGAGAATGTTTGTTCTACAATAAGTTCTCTCCTTGCAGCTGACCTTCGTTAAATTGTGTGATTTCTAAACAATTCTTGCGCTCAATGCCAAAAGAAGCAGAAGAGGCATAAATGTCTATAAACTCTACCATTACAGGCTCCAGGGTGTAATTCTGTGTATTGTGTTTGATACTCTCGGCATAAAAGTATAATGTGATTCTCTGGTACCATGTGTTGCTGTAGCTGCTCCCTGGCTGTTTCAGGGAGACCGCCCGTTGGCTTGGCGGCAGACAGCTGGCTCTCCGTCCTCCTCAGCCACTGGAGGAACTCCTCCAACTCGCCATGGAAACCTTCAGCCTACACAGAAACAGGCAAGAGAGGGGGAGAAACAGGTAGAAGGTCATTATTTTAGCCGCACATTAACATATGAAGATATTACCACTATAGCTGTTTTATATTTTCTTTACCTGTTGCAGTGCGGCCTCCAGTAGCTTCTGCCGCTCCTGGGTCTTGAGCAATAGACTGTCCCAGCTCTGGTTGAGATGATCCAGCTGGTCCCTCAGGTGGCTGGCCTCGTCGCCAGGAGAGGACTCCAGTAGCTCAGTGCCAGCACCGTTCACAGTCTCCACCGTGGCATGATGGGATAGCACGTCATTACGTAAAACCTAGAGGTGGGAGAAAGATTTCAGAGGGTTAGATTTGAATGTTAAGATGCAACAAGTAGTACAAGCAAGAGCACAGCTGAACAGAAGGGTTTGGAGATTAAAATAACACTGGAGGCCAACATTTTATTGTGTGGCTCTCCAAAGAGAAGAAAAGAAACCACATTAGGGCTACAGGACATGGCCGGGTTTCATAAGCACAGACAAAGTATCACCAGCCAATAAAGTGACAGCAAATTGAGCCTCTCTTCAAACAGGTTAATTTACAGCGTCAACCTGACCAAGAGGAAGAAGTCACAAGATAAAGAAACAGATGAGAAGTTCTCTTTGTTTGTAAAGAACGGAGACATACATGGTGTTTAGCCAGCTCGATTTCAATGGCCTTGGGGTCCGAGCTGATGGGTCGCTGTGTGTCCAGAGTGGTGTGTGTGTGGTTCAGCCAGGCCTGCAGCTCAGACAGGGCATGTTGGAACTGACCCAGGGCCAGCAGGGCAGCCTCCAGCTTGTGCTGTGGTGGAAGAAACACAGAAGTTCGGGTTTAAAAATAAGAACTAAAATATTTGGACTGTAATGAAAAGCAGCTGTCAAATACATGCAACTCTCCAGAATGCCAACAAAGACCAACATCGTCAATTCCCAAGGGAAACAGTGGAGTAAGAGCTGGAGGTCAGCTACAGAATAATGTCTCCCTGGAACAGCTTTAGTTTCAGTGTGTTTCTCAGGGACTACTCTTCAGTCTCATGTGGTTTCATTACCTGTCTTTGGGTGATTTTATCCCCCAGGTTGTCCCAGAGATGTCGGAGCTCGGTCAGCGGCTCCTGGATCATGTCTCTGTCTGTCTGATCTGACACCTTCTTTAACAGCAGCTCCCCCTGGTGGCAGAGCTTCTCCATGTCAATCTGCTGCTGGTAAACCTCCACCTTGTACTGCTGCTCAGGGGAGGAGAGAGTGGTAAAGAAAGGAGAGGAGTGTTTTGTTAGTTATTGATACACATATTATCATAGGTTATCTAAAAATTTGTTTAAACAATTCTAGGAATCACGTTTAATATCAAATTCATATGGATTTTACAGCAAATCTTGCAATGGATGCAAAGATTAATGCTTAAAATGTGTTCATTAATAACTGATTTAGGAAAATTAGACTCTCTTGCCAACCTTGAGCTCTTCAATCTGCTGTTTGACAGTTCCCAGATCAGTTCCCACAGTCGACATGTCGCACAGCTTGATCACTGCGTTGTCCAGGTAGTCAAACATAGACTGGAAATGAGAGAGAAAAAAAATACTTAAAAGCTTTACTTAAAAGATGAAAAGCTGACAGTACCCAACATCAACACGATCACAGTTACTACGTGTTACAATGTTTAATTTGGTGCAAAGGTGACACCATTATATTACTAAAACACTAGCTCAAGAACATATAGTTTGGCTCTAAGTAAAAGTGTTTTATGACTCATTGGTTTATCTTAGATTTAAAGAGGAAGGTTTATCCATTCATTTACCCTTGCTAAATAAAGGCCCAGTTAACTCTGATGTACAAACCTGCAGTGCGTCCTGATACTGCACAGACGCTGTCATGGCCTCCTCCAGCCTCTCCATCCTCTCTCTCCAGGTCCGGTTCAGACCCTCCCAGGCAGCATTCATCTGGGACAAACACGGGAAGACAAAGGAATTATGTCAGTGGGTCAACATATTGTAGAGCTCTACAAAACTCCTGGAGAACTTATTTTCATCTTTACAGAAGCAAATGGTGGCCATTTCATTTCATTTCTCACCTCATCAATGGTCTTCTTCACTTCAGGTTTCTCCGTTTCTCCACAGGCAAAGATAAGGTCAGCTCCTAGGGTCCTGACAAACTCCAGCTCCTCCCTCAAACCATCCGTCTCTGCCTTAATGGCCTAGAGGAAGGGTAGAGAGACATCATATTGAGTTGTTTAGAATAAGAAAAACTACACTACAAATGCATTTCTAATAGCTCTTCTCCTCCTCTCCTCTGCCTGTTAATCACCATTCACTCTCTCCCACTCACCTCAGCAGCCTCAATTTGTTGTTTGATGAGCGAGGGGTCGACGCCAGGGTCCTCCAGCTCCTTCACTATATCCTGGGAGTCTCTGAGCGTGCTCAGTAGCGCCGCCACGTCAGCCCAGAACTTCCCGGCCAGGTCCAAGACATCGTTCAGCTTCCCCTCCCTCTCCTCGGCTCGCTGCCGGATCTCATCCCACAGGGAGCGCAGGCGCAGGAGGCGGGAGCGAACGGCTGGAGGAGAGAGGGGGAGAGGAGTCAGAGTTCGAACCGGCTGGTCGAGAAAAGTTGGTGGTATCACTGGGCATACTAATCTATTTCAGATCATTTCAAGAAGAGTAATAATGTTTTCTTTGTTTGCATTTTTCCATCTAGTGTCCAGTCCTGATAAGTTAACTCTTTCATTAGTCCACTCCCACTATCTTTGCACACTGAGGCCTTTCATTTCCATGAAGCGTGGAGGGCTGGAGGGTATCAAAGCACAGAGTTCTTCAGAAGGCAACATAACAAAGAGGCATGTGTGTGTTTTGTCCCACCATGTGGTGGCGTTGGAAGAAATATGCAAGCTTCACGGCTGAATCTGTCCTATTTCAAGATTTGACAAGGTCTGCTCGCTGGCTTTATGCCAGTGAAAAAGTGACCTACTTTGGCCAGTTGATGGTTCAGTCAGTGAGCCAGTTGGACTGGAGCCCAAAATAAGATTTTATTATTTTTCACACAGAAGCTGTTATGCAATTCCCGATGCCCTTTAAACACTTAATCTATTTTGTTTGACTGTGTAATGTTTTGTTCCATTTATAGCCAGTATTATCATATCCAAACACTGAATGCAACACTGTTTAGTTATTTAGTGATTTAGCTGTTCAGTTGGTAGCCATTTTGTTAACCCAATTAATGTAATGCAAGATAAGATAAGATGTTCCTTTACTGATCCCCTGTGGGAGAAATTCAAGAAGTTTTCCTCTTTAACTGCTGGCTACATGTGCAGCAGCTCATCAATGCATAGAACAAGTGGTTCATTAATGATTTATCTTTTAAATACAATAACATCAATATTATTCATGTTTATGTAAACCCCTCACCCTGTTTAACTCATGAACTGTGTGTCATTTTGAATGTTATTTGTCATTCACTGTCAGACACATCGCAGCCACTCACCCTGAGCAGCGGGATCGTCGTGAGCTGCTCGTCCGATGAGCTCCTCTCCACGGGCGCAGAGGGCAGAGAAGCTCGGCAGCAGTTTGTCTAGCTCCAGCCCCTGGGCTCGGTGCTCCGCCAGCTGCTCCCTGATCTTCTCCACCTCCGCCGCCACAGAGGGAGGCTGCCGCAGCCGCTGGACCGCCCCCTCCAGGGTCTCCAGCAGGGGGTCCATCTTGTCATGAAACTGGGGACGGAAGGAGAGTTGGAAGAAAGTATTATGAGGAGGAGGAGGAGGACAGAGTGTGTTGAGGGGGCCGGGTTTGGGTTTTTGATAGCTGGGTGACATTTTGAAAGTGAGAAAATACTGAGATATTATGTGGGTGGTCAGCCATCTGTGGCACACTGCATCAACTTTTATTATAAATGTTATATCAGATTTCAATACGGGACGTAGAACAGGCTTGCAGTTCTTTTACAGTGTCGAATATCTCAATATTGCACCTTCAGCATGTCATCCAGGTCGTGTAGCTCGGACAAATCTGGACTTGATCTACCACACAAAAGGGAGCTGCTAATCCACAAAGTTCAGTCCACTCTAAAGGACTCTAAGGATAAGTTGGTACAGTTTCTAGTGAGTTGATGGGCTTTTGCCTCTGAGGGAACACAACAAATCTCATCTAGCAAAAGGACAGCAATGACTGGTTTCAAGGACCTAAATCAAACCTAGCCTAGTCTTTACTGGAAAGCTTCTCAGTTTTAGACTAGGCTTAATTTAAGTCTATGAACCTACACAAAAGGGACATTTCCCCAACAGATTTAATTCAGTTTTATTGTCACTCAGGGTGGGCGGACACACATTGACTGTATATATAGATGTATGACATGACAGCTTTTCAAATGTGAAGCCAAAACATCTCGATTGCCCCCTCGTGGTTGGTTGGAATATAGGTCAACAGGTTATAAAGCCCGCCCCCTCCATGTCAGTGGATGGGACATGGACCAAACTAAAAAAGTACATGTGAAATAAACATTTCCAAAGATGGTTTCTGTCATTTTAGGTAGTTCTTCTCACACAGATGTATGTTCGAGTGTTCATTTCTCTGATAAGTTTGGTTTTAATCGGATGCTATAAAAAGGGGGGGAGGGTTCATGTCATGATTGACAGTGATTGAGCCGTCCGGGTCTATGACCTCGATACCATGGTGCCAACCCCAATAACTACTGCAGAGACTCTGGCTCCAAATGATTTTACCAGAACAAGATGGCAGCGCCCATATGCAAGATATTGTAGCTTCATTATGTACAGTGTGAGGAAGGTGGTCGTGCATCTTTATATACAGTCTTTGGTCTGGACAATTATATCAAGCTGTGGTTTCATGTGGTCATTTCTAATCAGTAATAAACCAGACAACTTTTACCATTTGAGATAAATCGACTGCATAAATCATCACTTCGTCTGGCGGGATTAGTACTCGATTAGTGATTGACTAGTACAAGATTAGTGCCTTAGTATTGTTTCATAATTTATTAGTCGACCAAATCATGTAGTGTAAGCGCAGCCTGAGTGTCAGTTGGACGTTGTCAGTCAGTGATCTTACCTCTACCAGCTGGGTGATCAGTGCAGTGAGCAGTGACGATGGAGAAAAATGATGGTTGGGTTGGGGGGGTCAACACACACAGCACATCCACAATGAACAAGGGATGGGACGGAGGAGGGGACGGGTTGCAAGGATGAGGGACATTAAGGTTAAGTTAAAGGATGAGGGAGGAGAGACAAAGAGGTGGGTGGTTTAGGATGGAGTGAGGGATGAGGACAGTGTGGAAGTGCAGATGGAGGAAGAGAGGGAGCAACATGAGTTGAAGGGGTGGAGAAACAATACAATGAGTTAAATCAGAGACGTGCATATAGTAAAACAGGCACCACTCTGCCACACAAGTAATTCAATGATGTCTCATGAGATGAAGTGAAAGTAAAATATCCATAAAGAAAACAAGCACAAAAAGAAGATATGGTGTGATAAAATGATATATATATTGTTTTGGGTACATTTTGCTGCTGTGAAAACAAGACTAAACACTGCTAGATGTATGTATAAGCTCTTGCTAATAAGATATAAACTTTTTATAAAGTAGAACATGCAAAACACACACTAAAGAAATAAGACCAGAAAACAGCAAATCAAAATAAAACGTATCTTTCACTGAACTCATGACTTTGCGCGATAAATCCTAATAACCATTAATACAGGGCAAACAGCAGAAACAAGCACAGACATGCTGCTAAGTAATCACATCAGTCCGTCTTATCTGGGGCTGCAGACACTCGCTAACAAGCTATAAACAGACCTGGGCCAAATTGCATTTTACAAATTATTCACCCTGCACTGAGGCAAATGGGTGTGTATTTTAACAAATTAGGTCAATTTATATACAAAATGTAATTCAAGTTTATTGAACTGAGTCTCATACAACTCACGTCAAAGCCTTCTGACTTTTTGGTACCAAAGTACACTAAACAACAACTAATTAGACCCAGGTCTGCAGTTAAAACACAAACTTCCCAAACTATTTGTCCTCTGCGACGTACCTGTGCAGACTGGGACACTGCCTCGTCTAGGGTTGTTGCACGACCTTTGACGCCCTCTTTGATGGCCAGGTAGCGTCTCTCGGCCTCGGTGTAGCGCTGCGTCACCGTCGCCCCCTCCTGGAGGCTGAGCTTGGCCAGCTGAGGTCCAATCTTCAGCAGCTTGTCGATGTGAGGCTTGTGCTCTGCGATGGACTCTCTGAGCAGCTGGAGAGGGAGTGAAAGGTTAAAGAAATTAAGAACATGGAAGAAATGTACACATTTTAGTTGGTGACAATAATGAGAGGAAAGCTGAAACAGAAACGTTTTTCTATCCTCTCTTACCCTCATCTGATCCTGTTGGAGTCGGAGAGCGTCTGTGTCGATGGCTGGCGGTGGCAGCTGGGTGATAAGGGTTTCAGTCTCACCCAGCCACGGCTCCAGTTCCTCGTAGGTTTCCCAGAACCGAGCAACCAAAACCTGGGCCTGCTCCAGGGCTGAGAACCGCTCACTATGGCTCTGACTCACTGCATCATAACGAGCACTGAGAGAATCTGTCTTCACCTGAAGATAAAGAAAAACAAAGATTTTAGTGTTAGGATCCAGTTGCTACACTTTCTATAGGGGACTTGTCAGTTAAGCATTGTGTCCCTCATTAAAGCCATCCCTTACTTGATACTAATGCACATGTTTAGTCTCTTTCTCTTAATTCTCTATAAGTGACTCACTATCAGTGCGTCCTTCTGGGTGTCGCTGCAGGTTTCCAGGATGTCGTCTCTGGTGTTGAGGAGCTGATCCACAGTGTCTTTGTGTCGGATGATGTCAATGTTGAAGGCCCTCTGCACCTGCAGCTGGGCAACTGTCACGTCGGGCTCCAGGCTCAGGGGCCCCAGAGACGCCAATTTACGCTCCGTCTCCCCGACCCAGGCCAGCTCTGCGTCTACTGCCTCTTCATACTGAAAGAAAGAGTTCGTGTTTAACCGGTTTAAGTGCTCATATAGACAAATCTAATGGAAATGTAAAAAAGATAATCAGCTCAGCATTCAGGTTGAACTGTTTGCAGTACCTGTTGTGACCTCTGGATGGCAGCTTGTACCAGCTGCACCCGCTGAGTGATGGTTTCATCCGACTGACGGTAGCGCTGGTTGGCATCAGCGACCAGGCGGTCCAGACCCTCGCGGCCTCGCCACGGCACCAGATCCAGCAGGGCGCTGCCCACCTCGTTCACCGTATCCAACACCAGACGCTTCTCTGCCGACACTTTCTTCAGCTCCTGAAAAAGTGAAAGTGATTAGTTTTAAAAAGCAAAAACTGCAATCAAATGGAAATGTTTGCTTAAATATAGAATTGAATTGACTAAAAGGCATCCAGGTTTTTTTCCTGCTGCCTGAGTTTGCGTTGCTTTTCAAGGGGACATGATGTAAAAAGCACATTAAATGGTAAAAGCTGAAAATGTCATTGTAGAGTAAAATAGGGATGGCAGCAACAAATTAAATGGCAATAATTTTTTCAATTGCTTTTACAAACTGTTATTGAGTTCCAAGAAATCAAAGTTTCTATGGTAACTCAACTGTGGGTGGGTTGATATTGGAGCGGCTGAAAATGTCATTACAGGCTGTTGTCATCAAATTAGTTGTTCTTTTCAAACAATATGTACAATTCCTTTCTATTCAGGGAAACAACATCTTTAAAAATAATCTTTAAAATGTGTAAAATGTGGATGATTAAGTTAAGTAAAGTTTTAGCAACTAAACACCTTGGTTACATCCTGCCATTAAAGTGCCCACTCAATCATTTAGCTGGAGTCACTTGATGCAAATGGCTGAAACTAAATAAAATAATGCAAAAGTAAAACTGCATCTTGGCCAGTTAAAAGAACCCCAGCTGAAACCAACTCCTTTATAACACATAACTATGAAATCTGGTATGTATGAGAGAACGGATGCAACGGATAGATTCATAGTTGGTCCAAACATTCATTTTCAACAAAGTGACTCACAGCCAGAGTTAATAATACACCAGGAAGCAATGAGTGTTATGTGAAATAGTGAAACATATACACCATGACATCTAAATACTGTAACTGTTGTAATTAAACTGGCTACAAAACCCTGAATGTTTTAATGGGGGAAACAAATGGGTTGCTGCTGGATCAGTATGTGCGTTTTAGTGATGCTTATGTTATAAAACCATTATAAAAATAAACAGTTTTTTATCTGTATGTTTAACATGAGCACGGCACAGCCGTAACTGCAACCATCTCTCTCATACTCCGCCCACCTTCTGTCGTTCCTGGTATGTGGGTGTGGCGTCAGGTTCCATGTTGTTGAGCTCCGCCTCCACGCCGTCCAGCCATTGGTTGAGGTCATCATGGGCACTGGCGAATCGCGTGGCCAGCTGCAGGGCCTGCTCCAGGGTGCGGAGGGCCTTGCTGCTGCCGGCCGTCATCTCAGCGTAGCGAGACTTGATGCCGTCCAGCTTCTCCTGGATCAGAAGAACTTCTTCGCCTGCAGGGTGACACACAGGTCAGGTCGTGTATTGTCCTGATGCATTCATAAATCTTTCACAGCTAGGTTTGCTGCATCCCACTGCTCCAGGCCAAGTCAAATTCCTTTTAGGTGCAAACTTACTTCTCCGGTTTTTGAGTCATAAATCTTATAGATCATAAAACTCACTCCAAACACGTTCTGTAAAATTTCTCAGTACCCGAGGGCTGACAGTTCTGCATACCTCTCATGGCCACAACATTTGTCTAATCATCTAAATATGAGCACACACACACACACACACACACACACACACACACACACACACACACACACACACACACACACACACACACACACACACACACACACACACACACACACACACACACACACACACACACACACACACACACACGGGGTAGACCAACTATCAACTCGCTAATAGTGCTAACAGTCAGCATGTCTAATATCATGACAAGAGAGACACAAACCAGATGTTACAGTTTGGTTCACCGCTGATATAAAAATATGTGGTTTGGATGTGAATCTACAACAACTAAAGCAAAACAGTGTTTTAATTTCTTTCTAGTGTGATTCTCTCCCAAAGATTCCCAACATAAGCTTAATAATATAAACAATACCGCCTTCTTTATTGATTTTAGTTGCTAATCATCAAAACATATAAAAGATACCAGTCAGACACCTTCCAGTACAAGCTGGAAAATGACCAAGGATAACACTTTTTGCATTTCATATGTTTTAGGAGGAGACAGAAAACATCAGCTTAGGAGAAGATAAAGGAATGTGAGATTACCTGTGGTCTGTTTAAGTAAAGCTTGTCCATTCTTGATGGCCTGGTCCACGGTCTTCTTCCTGCTCAAAATCTCCTCATTTAGAGACTGAGGTGAGAAACAAAGTGAAAGTCAACCTCTAGTAGATAAAATATGTTTTTTCTTTGGCTCCAAGAACAAAAAATCCTAAGTATGGTGTATCCTTTATTTAACTCTTAAAAAAAAAAAAAAAATTAGACCAGTGTGTTTGTGCTTCATATCTATTCTTTATATGAGTGAGGCAAAGGCTAATGTAACAGCAGTACTGAAGGAAAATTGTACCTGAATTCTCTCATGGTCCATTGTGTATCAAGTTCGTGATTTAACTATATATATATATATATATCGTAAATAGCTACTGTATATAATATCAAAGATTGCTATTTTAGTGATGTATCTATATAACGTTAGATAAGAGATTTTACTTCATTCTTCATTACATTAGTACAATTCTACCTGTATACTGTAGCTTTTTCCTAATAAACGTACTAACTGCTGCTCTCATGTTTTGGAAGAAATAGTGTAAGCTGGGGTTCAGTGTGTTCATGAAGTCGTACCAGAGTGTGTTTGTGCTGCTCGGCCAGCAGCTGAGGCTGGTAGCTCTGGACGGAGACCTGAGACAGCCTCTGAGCCACCTCAGCCAGCCAGTTCAGCACCTCTACCTCATCCTCCCCAAACAGCTGAGCGTTGGCCAGCGCCTGCTCCAGCAGGCCCGCCCGCCTCGAGCACCAATCAGCAAGTTCCGAGTGACCTGACCTCACCGCCCCCACCCGCTCGCTTAACCAATCACGATCAACCGTGCAGCTAAGCGGGGTCAGAGATTGGCTGAGGGACTCGAGGCGGTCAACCTCGGCTTCACGAGAGGACACGTCATCTTGGAACGCCTGGGAGATGTATGTGTGTGTGTGCGTGTGTGTGTTTGAGGGGAAGGTGAAGGGAAGTGAGAAAAGAACAGCAAAACAATAAAAATAGATGGGTAAAAACTTAAAATATGAGCATGCAAATGATAAATCATAGATCAACAGGAAATCATAAATGTCAATAAATGAATGGATGAGTAGACAAACATAAAAAGAAAAAACTAAAAACTGCATCGATAAAGACATGGACTGGTAAAAGGGTATGTTTGGGTTGTAAATGATTGCTTTGTGGATCTTTTGCTTCGTGTTTCCTCTTCCAGCATCTTTCCACTGAGTTACACTGAGATGAACTATATTTTCTATTTTACATTTAAGTTGAAACGGGGACGGCAAAACTGGAATACCAACAATATTTATAGGTAGGTAAGTCAGCAAGTATTTTCTTGTCTGTAACTGAAGATCTATTGAATGAACAATGCTCCATGTTTAGACTTTATTTTGCCAACCATGTCAACAACCAAGAGCATCTGCCAATAAATTCAACCTACCTTTTCCTAGTTCTTGCTATTTAGGTGACTTACATAAAAATATAACTTTGCAACCTTCTCATGAGTTGAGGGTCTCTGTGGGGCCAAACAGTACCTTGTGCTTGATGATCTGCTGGGTGATCTTGGCCGTCTGGGTTCCCATGGGCTCGGCGGAACTCAGGCGTCTCTCAGTGGCACTCAGCCACTCTCCCAGCGGCTCCAGGGCTTCGTGGAACTGAAGAGCCAAAACCTGCAGCTCCTCCAACTGCCTCTGCCTGAGGGACGGGAGGGTCGGAGATGATGAGAGCTTTAATTGGGATTTTATTGCTTTCACAGATTATTTTTGTTCAACTTGGTCCTGATTTTGTCTCATACAGCTGTTGTCTTTTTCATATACACAATGTGTTTGAGAAAGATATTCAGACAGAGGGAGGTTTTGTGTCTTTCTTTTAATGTGCTTATACCGAATATGTTTGTTGAGTGACTGTATGTATATGTGTGTGTGTGTGTGTGTGTGTGTGTGTGTGCGCGCACAGATTTACAGAATTTCTGTTCAAACTGTTAGTGTTCATACTACACAAAGTAATAAATTCCCCAGACATGACAGACGTTTTTCATATCATGCCTTGCAGCAAGTAGTCAGGCATGAATGTGTTGTAAACAATATATATTATGACCCGACTTTACATGAGGAGATGCATCGGAGGTATTAAACCTCTTCAGTGTGTGTGAGTGTGGCCTGCACGTGTGTACCCATTTTCCCCAAAAGAACCATTACTTTCCCAAGTGAACAGAGGAGCCGCTGAAATTACTTGTAGACCACAGAAACCAATAGTAATGATACTATTCGGTCCTTAAGTACAGGGGTGCTCAACAGAGCCACACAGACATGAAACGAGAAAACAGGAAATAACCGCAACATAATATACTGTTGAGGAACACCACCAATTACTTCCCTAGACCACATATTTACAGCAAGACAAATCTGTAACTTTTAGCTTTCTGAGATATTATCTGTGTTTTCAAAGGATAAAAAGGACAGAATTGATCATTTTGAAGTGTGGAGCATCCACAAGTGCCAGAGATGACCATGAGAGAGCAATATGATACCTCCATATTGACTGCTACAAGGAAATTCCCTATTTATTCCATTTTATATCCACTTAGAGACCATCAGCAGGGCAGATGGTTGGTTGTCACATCAGAGCTTATACCCAGATCCTCCCCACCCCGAAGCCCCCCTTCAATACTGCAGAGGAGACTTACCTGCCACCAGCCTTGTCCAGCAGGTCAGTCCATCTCTCCGCCAGACTCTGGAGCTGGGTTTGAATCTTCTCTCTGTCCTGAGTGTCTGCTGTGGCTGCGATCCTCTCTCCCTCAGCTCGGATCATCTCCACCGTCGGCCGGCGGTCATCTAACAACCTCTGGAGCAGCTGGGTGGGGAGAAACGCACACGGTTATTGGTACAAATCATTTCAAAGAGAGTACTCTTAACAGCAAGGGTCAGAAATTAGGTTCGACCATGAGCCAGTTCTTGCAGGTACAGGTGCCATAGAAACACAGGCCTGTATGTATCCAGTGTCTGTTTAGTTCTTTTGATACATTTAAGAAATGAAACTGTAAAATGAAATGTAAATGTATGGATATTTTGATTGATCTCCTCATGGGGCTGCAGTATTATAATTTACAAGGTCATGTTAGGATTTACATGAGCCTTGTATTTACATTGTTATCTACAGAAGATATGTGAAAAAGCATGTAAATGTGTGCTACGAAAGTGTGAGGGGGAAAATGTTTTTGTTTGGAGCCCACGGGACGAGAGGTGTTTCTAACATTTAGTCTACCATAAAATATTAGAAACACCTCTCAGTATAACACAATAAAATTTAACAACACTAGAAAATACAGCCTCAAAAATGACCAATACATTAAATCAACACTTCCCAGAACAAAAAGGGAACATTAAAAGCTTCATGAAGGTATAATTTATTTGCAGGACTGATGTATTAGATGTAGTAGTTTAACAAAGGCGCACCTAATAAACTGGCCAGTGTAAACTGCCTGATTAAATTTAATAGACATTTTTTCTTTCTGTCAACATGTTCCATAATAAATCCAGCTGAAAAGCTAATTCCTTCGTGAAAAGCTAATTCCTTGCAGAATGAAGGGGTGACTTATACAAATCAGAAAATGTGCTTCCACATAACAACTCAACTATACATTTAACCACGCAGAACAAAATGTGTTTAAGGCATGAAATAAGTAAACTGCATTGATAATTGATCCCTTTCCTACAACAGAAGATATGTTTTCCATTGTTACCAAAATCTACTGTTACATTTGGGAAAACATTACCAACATTACCATCACTATTTTTGAAAGAAAGCCTCATACAAAGCTCATCAATTATTAGCTCTTTAAAACAGTTATCAATGTGTTAGCTGATATCTTGCATTATTACACATTTAACATTTAAGGGAATTTTTTAAAAAGGTAGATACAGAATAAACTGTTATTTACTTCACGAGGCATCCAACTGTTTTAAGATCAACAAACATACGTGAACACACTTCCTTCCTGCTTAGATAGCAGCTTCCCTGTCTGCTCTGAACAGCCCCTGGAATGCACTTCTCTACACTTTACTCTCTCTATCAGCCACACGGTGACACCACTCTTCGCCACGGATGTAAACACGTGTGATTGATCGCTGGCCGAGATTGCGGCACTCTTATGTGCACAAACACAGGAAGTGTATGTTGGATAAACAGGGAAAAGTGTGTGTGAGAGTGTGTCTCTGAAAACAATACAAATCCACCATGCATGTGTGTGTCTGTTTTTATGCCAGTCTGACTGGCAGACGGTCAACTGGGGCCGTTTGGATGCCAGGCAGACGGATCATTGACTCTGTGTATGTGTGTTTGTGAGTGCGCTTGTCATTCAAATATCTATTGTTTGTGGCTGAAGGACACTGAGGACATCTGAATATCAGTAATGTCTCAATCCAACCGGCCTGATGAAATAGAGGAAAGATTTTTTACAGTGATGTTTAAAAAAATAAATAAGTAATCTAGAAAAACTGAGAATTCAAATCCACTTTAATTTACAGACAGAGGCTGGCAGGACACTTCAAAGAAAGAGGAGGAGGATGTGGGTGGCAGTAGCTAAGAGCTCAGACAACTGAGCTTGATGATCACAGCTTCAAATCCCAAACATGGAAAATCTGAGCAGACACTCTGAATGAAAAACACTTGAAAATGTAACCTTGATGACCTAAAGAAAGACACTTCTGCTGCTTTAAGGGTTACATCTTTAAGTTGTAAGTAAAAATTAAACAACCTCTCATCGTTGTGTTTTTAGATGTAAAAAAAGATTTTAATTTATGCTCCTTCATCCTTCTCTTACCTTTTGTTCTTGGATCTGGGCCTTGACCACTCTGTACTCGGCGGACGGAGGCTTCTGATTGGTCACCAGCTCCTCTGTGTCGCTCAACCAGCTGAGCAGAGGCTCCAAAGCATCCTGGAATTTCCCACAATGCAACAGGGCCTCCTGCAGCTGTGCGATCCGCTCTGCCACCTGAGGACGGGGGAGGCGGTTATGAGTTAAGAAGCGAAGTCAAAATAACACACATTATCTCCTTGCTCCTGATTCAGGTTTTAAATTAAAACCGAAAGTTTGAAACCAAAACAAAGCTTCTGTCCTATTTAAATCTTCTCTGATGTGTTCTGTATATATCAGTGGACATATAGAGTCGTACCCGCTTGTTGAGTGAGTTCCATTGCAGGTTGGTGGTCTCCAGGTCGTGCTCTAGTGCCTGGGTGTCGGTGTGTTTGGCGGCGCTCTGGATCAGACCCTGACCCACTGCGTTGACGTGCTGTAGCTTCGGTTGAATGCAGTCTACCTGCTCTCTCTCCACAGCCTGGAAGAGGAAGCGAGAAAAATTAATTGATTTATTCATAAATTAGTGGATCAAAAAAAGAAAAAGGCAGGAAAATGTGTAAGAAAGAAAAGATGTCCTAAGTTAACAGTTTATTTGAAAGCAGAAGAAGTCACGTCAGTAGTCAGAAATAAACTGAACATTCAATCTGCGTGACAACAAATGGAAGTGAACTTTGCTACATTATGTATATATAGAAGCGACTGGATATTAGGAGATGAAAGACAGGCAGAGGGATGTGCAGAGATAAGAGAGGAGTGGAAGACAGGAAGGGAACAGGAGGGTGGAGGGAGGAGAAAAAAGAGGAGGGAGAGAAGGGGATTACGGGGATTAGAGGGTTAGGCGAGTAAGGGGCTGGCTGGAAAAGGCTGAGTCGACAACACACATTGTGGAGTACACTAACACAACCTTCACTTAATCACACACAAGCAGACACACCCACCTACACTGACACACACACACACACACGCGCACACACGCACACACGACACACACACACACACACACACACACACACATATAGCAAATACACGCACTACTTCGCCTGTCTGGCCACATTACTCACACACACACGTCACAGTGGAGGGCTGGAGCCATCTTGTGATGACAATAGAGGCAACCACCCGACACTAAAGACAACCAGACTTGACTTCCCTGGCTGAAAAAGACTGAGCAACAGCCAGTGCAGCTCCTCTGTCTGAGCCACTACTGTATCCAAATACATTTATACAGCAGCGATTTTCAGTGTTTGGTCCAGGTTCCCATTCGGGTCAATGCGGAGGATGCTGAGGTCCCGAGCAATTAAGAGTATTAGATTTAATTGTATTTCCAATTTTCCAATTGTCAGTCATTCATCAAGCAAAAAATTTTACACTTCCAATAGTTATAGCTTCACAGATTAAAGAATATGCTGTTTTCTCTACTTAATACCGTTGTAAATTTAATATACTTGTGTTTTAAAATGCTGGTTGGACAAAAAATGGCCTCATTGTAATTGTGAGAGAGTAAAAGATTTAGTCATCAATTAAGGAATTAATCGATAATGAAAACAATCGTAAATTGCGTCCCTAAAACAAAACAAGGCCACACTAAATTCAAAGGCATTATAAAACCGTATATCTTCTCAACGACTTTTCTTAATTTCCATTTTTCATTTCATAATTTGGAGCTTGTCCCTGACCTACAAAATGTTGTGCCCGTCTGGTTTGTTACTGTTGTTTTTCTTAAGGGGTAAACAGTCTGGTTTTCCCTGCAGTAAGTCTTACTGTGGAGAAAAACAGCTTAGGCAATGAATGTGAGAAAAAAAAATACATTCTGCTAAATTCCTGTAAACCATCCTGCTATATCCCACAATTTGACAAATCCACAAAACAACTTTCCCAGTTTCATGGTATTCCACCGATTCCCTGACCAGTGGGACCACTGTAAACCACAACCATTTAAATTCTTTTCATTTGGTTGTCTCCGTACAAAATCCCATCAAGGCTGTAATGTGGGGAGGTTGGGGGGGGGGTTCGCTGTCATTTGTCGTTTGAGAAGTCCTGACATCTAGAATAGGTCCACAGAGGGAGAATTAAGCCTGGTGGTTTATAATGATGTGGAAGCCAAACCCCAACCCCAATGGCCACACAAAGAGACACACACACACACACACACACCCCCACCATATTTTGGTAAATCCATGCCTGGGGGAAAATAGCTGGTGTGACAATAGTGAAGGGGGTGCAGTTAAAGTGAGGGAGAGGGAAAATATAGGTTTGGGTTTCAGTGAAATACCACTACGGCCTGGAAGAAGCTACAACAGTCGTGGGTGTTCAATAGTCGAATAATAACCTACCATAGCACACCAATAAAACTCAAATGAAAACATCTGAAGAAATTTTCACCATAACATCTAAAAGACGTATTTGTGACGCAATCTTCTTTTCATCTGCCATCAAATGACCTCCAATAAAACAGGCCACTACGAGACGGGCAGCGGATCTGAAAGGGGACCTGGACTATGGCCTCCACACATTTCAGCAAGTTAATCTTTATGTCACCACAAAAACAAAGCAAAACTGTAGTAAAACTGTATAAAGAAAATATGCAGAGTAAAAAGGTGACTATCTCACAATATTAGTTCATCCTCTAGGTCATATTGTTATTATGAGTTTCTGCTGTGATGATTCTCGATGATTTCAAATGAAAATGACAAGATTAACATTCCAAATGAATGAATTTGAATCTAATGAAAGAGTGCCTTTCATTCATCACTATTCAGAACACGTTCACCAGCATTTAAAAGCTTTAGCATATTGATTTATGACGTGTTGGGGATGTTTACAGACATGCAGACAAAATACTGAGTTGGTCTTGTGTATTGGCTGGAAGTGGTTGAGCTGGAACGTGTGTCTGAGTCTCCGCAGTGGGTCGTAATCAAAGGGTTTACAGGTTTCTGCTCATCTGGTTTAAATATGGCATCAAACAACAGGTTCTTCATGCCAAGGCTTTGTGTGAGTGTGTGTGTGTTTGTGCACACAGTTCCTATTCTGTGCATGTGTTAGTGTGTAAAAAAAGAAATGATTAAGTGTTCCACAGGTATGAATCTCTGTGCATGATTAAATATGAATGAGCAGTTTGTGTGTGTGTTCCTGTCCACTCTGGACGCAGCTGTGTTGTGGTGATGGGCGTCATAGCTGCTTGGAACAGGAAGTCTGTCGGCCAGAACAACAATGACTGTAGCCATGACCTGCTCCACCCTACGCCTTATCCTGGTGTGTGTGTGTGTGTGTGTGTGTGTGTGTGTGTGTGTGTGTGTGTGTGTGTGTGTGTGTCAGAGATAGAGGGCAACAGAAAAGGAAAAAACAGGGAAAGTACACCCATTCACCATCTAAACATACACTTGGGTGTATATAAACCTGTTATAGGTTGTGTGCTATTACATTTCTGTCCACTCTCCCTCCTCTTCCTCTGCTTCTGTCGCTCTCTTTGTGTTTTCTCTCGCTTTCGGCCGCCCTCTCTGCTCTTTCTCTCCCTCACCAGCTCAGAGTGGTTGACTCCACTAAACCAGAGCTCTGGAAAATGTCCCACATACTTGTCATTCTTCCCTACTTCAGCCAGCACGCAGCAACACACGCACACACTCTTAACCGAGCTGAGTGAACTATCACCACCATACTTGTCATCCTTCCTACTCCTCCTCATCGCTCATCTTCTCTACCTCATCTCTTCCCTTTTACTCCCCCTTCCACGTCCTACCCCGTCTCTCCATCTGGACCGCTCTGGCATTCTCACTTCAGCCGCAGTTCAGTGTGAACAGGCGATAAAAACACTGGGATGTAAGTAGATGTGACTAAATACTGTTTGTATTGTAATTTCTTGTCAAATAGACATCAGTTTAAGAGGTTGTTGAATTGCTACAACTGCAGCAATTGTCAGAATTTTAGATTTCTGTCTGCTTTTCAGCGATTTGTGCCTGAATTAGTCCGTCTGGATTTGCAGAAAAGCATTCAAAAACAATAAACTGAGGTGACTGAAGAAAATCAACAAGAAAACAGCTTGTAGACAGAAATGTCTGCTTAAGGCAGAGAAGGAAAAACGAGGCAAAACCTCAAACTCATCACACATTTGGTTCGACAAGAGGGCAACACCATTAAGTAGAGCTGCAACGATTAAACTAATCGGCTACTATTTTGACAATTTTGTCATTTTCCAAGCAAGAATTCCCAACATTTGCAGGTCAAAGCTTCTAAATGTGGTGCTTTTTTATAGACAAAACTGATCATATTAAATCATGCTCAAAAGTATGAGACATCATCTTCTTCTGACTGAACCATGACCAAAACATCGCAAACAAGTTTTCTCACTGCTAGCAAATCAGATCAAATCGTGAAAGCACATGACTGCGATGCTTCTGTGTAACAACAAAAATGCAGACAGGGTAACACTAAGGACAATCTAACCTTACCTCGAGAGTAAAACAAAAGTGCAAACATCTGATTTTTGGAGTCAGTGTTACCCAATAGTGTTTTTTTTAGAATCTGTGAACTGACTGTGTTACACAAACATACGTGTGGATGCTCTACACTCAGCTAATAATGCGGAAGAGAGTAATAGCTGTGTTGATGGCCCGTGTCCAAAACATCACTCAAGGACAATCGATTTTTTAATCGGGACAGATGGGGAACATGTACGCACATACATGCAGAGAATTACTAATGGCAGCACATAGAAACATGGCAGCTTTCCATTAACGGCCACTGTTGCTGCAAATAAAGCAAAACATATGAAAAAAGAAAATATGCTAATAAATTAGGAGCATGCAGGATGTTGCCTAGCCACGCTGAGTTTTCCAACTTGTTATAAAGGCTTTAAAGTTATTCTCTGAACTCTCCTTTCATCTTCCTTTCCCTTCATAACGGATTTCCATAGCTACGTGATCTGTCATGAAAAGAGCTAGTGGTCATATCACAAACGTGTGTATCTTTAAAGTGTTGCTTCTAAAGCTGCAGTTGGACTGAAGAGGTGGTGAAATGAAACTGGTATGTGATTAAAAACAGACGAGCAGAAGAAAGACAGGAATCTTCTATTAAAACTGGGTGTGTTTTAGTGTACATGAGTGATAAATAGAAAACCAGAGGGAAAAAATGAACAGCCTGAATATCCCGTACCATGGGTAAAGTGTTTCTCCTGAAAGCAATATGGCAGCCAGTAACAGCACCGCTATCGCTTGCTTTTCCTTCCACCCCACACCTCCTCCCTCACCCGTCTCCCTCGTCTCTCACTCTCTTCCTGGCTTTCAACCCTCATCCTTCCTCTCTCCCTCCTTTCTCTTTTAATGGAATGAGGAATGAGGGGAGGAAGGAAAGAGTAGAAATCTGTTTCCAAACTAAACTCGATGGGGGAAAACAATTTTGCCAGAGAGGCTTTGCTTTAAGCCACGGATTGACCGATCTGTGAGACACGGATGAGAGGGTTAATGGGTTAATAATTTCAAACCA